TAAAAGGTGTATGCAAGAAATCTGATTTCTAAATCAAATGTTTTGTAATTAAATAATGTGAAATATAAACATTCCTCAAACATTCATATTATTAGCCAGAAACAAGATCAAAAACATTATCTATGATCAAAAATTAACTTCCGTGTCCTTTAATCATTATTTTATATTTAGTAATATATATTTGGTTGAATAAAATAGTAGTAGGCTGAACCAAATCGAATCCTAGATCGATGCCTAGTTGTGAGCATGTGAACGCCAAGGGACGCCTAGATATAAAAATATGTTTATAAGACTTGGTATTTTGTGGTGGTATTTTGATAGTTTCCCGCAGTGAAACGTAGCTTATGTGTTAATCCAGGGTGTCAGCTAACTCCATAGCAAATTTTATTAAAATCGCCCCTGTCGTTTAGACTTGAAGAAGTAACAAACATACACACTCACAAACTTTCGCTTTTATAATATTAGTGTGATTGATTCGATTCTGGCGTGATTCTCTGTAAATCGAATGAAAAAAGAGACTACTGAGGTAACATACACAGGATATAACATTAAATTTTCCTTAGCCCCTCGTTTACATCAAGCTAAAATATATATGTATTTAACAAATTTTATACAGTGTCTTTATTTTACTTGCATCAAACTTATTGGATAAACAAAATATGTGAAGCAAATAGTGATTTATACTTGTAAAGAATCTACTAGTTGTTTATGCAAGTTTTAAACAATCACAACAAGTATTCTACAAATTTTGTGTAAAACTAGTATATGACTTGTTTCTTGGTGTAAACGAGGGGTCATAAGCAGATTTTGAGCGCAGTTCTGTGCTTTGTAGACGAGTCAAAGACATACCTTGCATATAAGTTAGCATTTTTATTTCATTACCTAACAAGGAAAGAATTAACCATTATTAATGTTATAAAAATTACTATTAAATTACTATTATAAAAATATTTTATAAGAAAGTAAATTCCAACACTGGAATATTAGAACTGGTTATTAATAATTATAAAAGTAATTATGTCATTAGTTATTAATTATGATGTTACCAGGTGGAAACATTGTTTATCTTTACATTTATAATTTATCTCAATAATATATTAATGCTACTGACATATAAATATGTAACATAATCGTACATTGTATAATATCGTGACTGGTGCGATGCATATCGTGCGATGATTATTTTATTTTCATACATTATTAATAAGCATAAATTGTATCAACCCCCTTATCATTATTGTTTAACATTTCATAAATTTTCTCCTGCAGTAATACTTACACCAGAAAAAAATATCTTTTAAGATGCCATTAATATTGGTTGAAAAACGTATATTTGGAAATTAACCGAATTTGACCCTAAGTAATATTATATATATCTACATATTATGTACTGACCCTTTATTCCGGCAACAATTTGTTCTTATAATGTGTTGTTATACATAACCAAAATGGCAAATTACTTCTGTGTGGCAAATCATATAATATTTTTCCCGGTTGCGGAATCCTAAAAATCAGACTTGATATGTTACAAACGTACAAAGTTAACTATCAGAATCCAAAATACATAAATAACGATAAAGAAGTACCTGAAAAGGTTTGTGCATACTTTGTTTCTTCTTCAAACATATATTTTTATGAATTAGCAACTTTATGTATTAGTACATAATACTTACTAACCTCACCGATTAATCACTCTCTAATTTAATAAGAAGTGAAATAGGGTGACTCTGATAATTCAATGTTGCGGTTTATTTATCGGAACTAGTTTCTCGAATGAAAAATTCGACCAGTGTTTTTTTACTGTGAAATATACCGATTATTAACCCACAACTAGATATTTGCGGTTAGGGTGACAGTATTCGAAAGAATTTCTATGAACGATATATTATTTCTAATATTTCAACATATTAAATTAATTAACTTTTACATAAAACCTAGTCTGTTCGTTGGATACAATAAGTAATTAAATACATAAGTTGATTGAGTTAAAAATTTCATCACTGATCTACCTATATCAATAAATGAATTGCTATGTTGACAGTCAGAACATCTAAAAGCTCTGAAAATTCAAAGATTTCACTGGCAGATTCTGTCAACTTACCTATGGCATGGTTATTATCAAAGTTTGGTTGCATATCAAAGTGCATGTTCATCTTATCAAAATAGACTGAAAGTTATGCTGTATTCGCTTCCTTCGGATCGGTAGGCGTTTAAGATTAAAAAAAATCATCACATTTGCTTGTAGGATGTGCTTGCATTCCTATGATGCTTAATAAGCTTTTCGAAAAGCTATTAGAACAAAAAGGACTAACACCATTTGACGTGTGTCTTGTTAGCTGTTTCTGCGCACACGCCGATGTGTAGTGGGTAGCACAGATAAGGACAATTTACCGAGTAGCCAGATAAATACAAAGTATAAACGGACTCTTGAGTGCAATGAGAACGATGGTACCAACAGAACAATAGCGTGTAAACACTACCTATGTAACTATAGTAGATAAGTCAAAGTAGTCTTTATAATGTCATGACATCGAGTAGTTACATGCTTAAAACAATGAAATTATAACTATAATTGCTATTTCTTCTTTCAAATGTTTAATAAGGAAAGGAAAGTAAAGGAGATTTGACATTATGGGCTACCTTCAATGCGAGGAGATGGCGCTGCCTTGCAGCTTAAGAAAGGCTAGATATAATTCGACACGGCCATCAGGACCGCGGTAGGTACCTGGTCCACGTGTTTTTTTTGATTGCGATTTACTTTATAATTTTTATGTTTAAAATTATTAAATTTACAACTTCATTTATCGAGTAAGAACATTACCATTAGTGGCTAGTTAATGTATAAATAATGTTCTAATTGATATCACATCTTTTATCCATAATCTTATCATTAAATCAATTTGTAACTGACATAAAATGATGTCCAGCATTATAGATATTTTGCAAGGGGCGCTATACAAGTTAACGTCCTTCGTGAAAACTACTGATCACTGTGTATTTGAAATTGGCTTATTGTTTCATTGAAAATAAACTTAAATAGAACAAATGATGCGACCCTACAAATCGTTTACTTTATATATTTACTAGCGGCCGCCCGCGACTTCGTACGCGTGGTTAGTTAGAAATAAAGGTTCACTGCTCGTTCTCCGTAGAAGATAGCGTGTAGCCTACATGTTGACTTGACTTCTTAACAATATTCGTGCCAAATTTCAAGTAAATCCATGCAGTACTTTTTGAGTTTATCCCGGACATACATGAAGACAGACAAAAATTCTAAACACTATATTTTTGGCTTCGGTATCGGTTGTAGATGACACCCCAAATATTGTTCTAAAAAAATATTCAATGTACAGTTTTGACTTTCCTACCATTTTATTATATGTATAGATTAAGCAAACTTGTACTTTGTAGGATTTCAAATATCTCGATAGCTCGTGAGTGAATTCTTGAATGAAACTTGTACTTGACTGAAATATCCAAATATTTTTTTCTCAAACTTGGTACTCTAGGAGACTACAGGCGTGTTAAAGTCTGTAGCTCAGTTCGCGTTACAAATTTAACAACAAACAATCGTAGAGCGTTGTCATTAACTTGCACAATGGGACATTCAATAGCTATAGCCGATTTAGGTGGCTACACGTCGAGAATACGAGTGCATTGGTTTCGACACGTCCATGAGGTGGTATCAGTTTAAATTTCATTACATTGCGTCCTTTCTAGGAGACGCCAGTCTGTTGAGCACGTATTCATTAATCACTACTTGTTTCTTTAGTTAGAATTAACCGATTAAATCTTCGCATGCGATTCGCGCGAGCATTTAGCGAAGTCCTTGATCATGTTGCGGACCTAACATTATTATTATTATGTTTATTGACAGTTGTATCTTGCATGTTATGTATTTATATACGTTCTCTAAGAGTTGGAAAGCGTTGAAAAGCATAAATTATTCATTGGCGTGATTGTTGATTGCCATGCCATTTTGTCTATAAGGCAAAGTTTTATAAACATTCTTGTGGAATGCCTCAGGATCACGATCGCTAGAATATCAAAACTTGTCTTTAAAACATAAGGTTTTCCTTATTTAACACAGTGTTTTAAACAAGTTACCTCATGTAAAGGGCTTACAATAGCTTGTTCTTGTGACACAAAGATTATCTTTATATTTTACTTAATTATTTTCTTGAACGTACTGTACTACAGTCGTCAGCATATAGTTATATTTACGCTGCGTATTTTTTCTGAAAGGGAAAATAAAATTTAATAATCTATTGATTGCTTACTTATTGTCTTTTCTTATATTGCTTAACCGCCACAATCAAATCAAACCTAGTGCGTTTACCACTACGGCATCGAGTTTTGACCTAAAGAATCTCAAAGTTGTTAACTTACATTAAAGAAACAAATTGCGTTTGAACGATAACTATGATGCATCAGTGACAAAAAGAATAGATATTTTTTTTCAGTATCCATCACCTGGTATTCTATGATATTCGTTATTTTTTTTCCAAAAGTACATGTTATTCATTTATTGACATAAGTATTAGACTAAAACGATTATTATAATGATTCGTTAATTGATTTATATTATATATTGATGTTTCTTATAATATCTTCAGGAGACGTACACACTTTACATTAGCAATAGTTTATAATTAAACCTGTACATAAATAAGCTGGTCAAAATATTTTCATATACCGTCCATGATGAATGGAACATGACGAAAGGAATTGTGAAACTGTGTGAACGAAACATCCATATGTACTCAGTGGATGGGCAGCTATTGTGTCTTCCCATGCGACTCAAATCGTATTAGTTTCACAAACATCGTCCACCGTACTGTCAGCGAACTATTATTCTTATATCAGAATATATATAACACGTACTTAACACATTTTCTAAATAGAAAATTAGGTATTTTAATGGCAGACTTGTAAAAACAAGTCCTCAAAATGTTCTTCAAGGAATTTTGTTGATAACTGTTGGTTTTCATTGTTCGCAGGGCAAAAGGAGGTAACACGGCATGACTGCTACGCACGGTGGCGGACGAGAAGACGACCGTCCGGACAAAGACACTGTCTACACGATCAAAACGGGATTCAAAAATGACGGCTATCAGCACGACCGGGACTCGAATGAAGACATCATCAAACCCCCTCCTTTACCGGTCGAGGACGACAATTATCCCACTGGAAAAGTAAAATTAACACTAAATGAAAAATGGAGAATACTGAAAAACGTAGCGGCCGTGAGCGCCGCGTTCATGGTGCAGTTCACAGCTTTCCAGGGCACTGCGAACCTGCAGTCGTCTATAAACGCAGCCGAAGGCCTGGGAACTGTCTCGCTAAGTTCCATATATGCGGCGTCTGTCGTCTCCTGCATATTCATACCCACGTTCCTAATAAAAAGGCTGACAGTGAAATGGACCTTGTGCCTATCCATGCTGTGCTATGCTCCGTACATCGGGGCGCAGTTCTACCCCGCTTTCTACACGCTAGTGCCTGCCGGTGTGATGGCTGGCTTGGGAGCGGCGCCCATGTGGACCTCGAAAGCCACGTACCTAACGCAGGCGGGAAGCGTGTACGCCAAACTGACAGACCAAGCAGTTGACGGAATCATTGTAAGATTCTTCGGCTTCTTCTTCCTCGCTTGGCAAACCGCCGAACTTTGGGGAAACTTGGTCTCAAGCTTAAGTGAGTTTGCTCTATAGTTATAACACGTTTTTTGGTAAAAAAACGATCTCAGTATTTATATGGCCCCTCAAGTGTTCATGTATTTATAATAACTTCTTTTTTGTTTACAGTATTTTCGTCTGGATTACACAGCAGTAATCATACGTTGAATAACACAGTGGTCAGTTCGGCATTGTTGAAATGCGGTGCGAATTTTTGCATGATGGGGGGACAAGATCAGGACAAGAATCACAACCTCAACAGGCCGCCGAATGATGAAATCTACAAAATCAGTGCCATATATCTCGCCTGTGTGGTGGTCGCCGTGCTGATGGTGGCTTTACTTGTAGACCCACTGTCTAGGTAAGCTGATAACTTACGTTACTCACATTTTTTCGGTGCAGGTTATGTTGAAAAATTACTACCCCATACAATTGCATTGACATTGCTTTCGGAACTGTTCTGATAGGCCTTTAGTAAACCACACAAGGAAGCAAATGAATTTTAGGTTTTATCTTTAATTGGCAGACCGTTAGTATTATAGGTAAGAAAAACAGTTCCGTTCTTTTATTTTGTCATACTTACAGCATCAACGATCGCCTGTTAAATTATTTGGAAACATAACTACATTTGAAAAAATTTAATTCGAGCGGAGTACTTAAAAATTAAAACGAATATATATAACTAGATAAATGCGTTTTTTTATGGCTATCTAGACGCGCCGTCACGCGTTGCGATCAGCGTCCAGTACATTACAACTGAAGTGCTATTTTCTAACATAACTCAACCTTGAGGTCGTCGACGAGAGTGCATAGATCAAAATCGATGTCGTGCCATATATGTTTTCTGACAAGCAACAAGATTTCAGTTGTTCTGCTAAATAATTCTCGTCGTCGAATGTAGTGCAGTTTCATGTAAATTTATGAAAACCAACTGTGTATTTAGAACATACCATGCAATTGTCATCCTCAAACTGTATGTTCACATAATTATTTTATTAGTTGTACAGGCATACAATAACTCCAAATAATGGAAAGTAACCTCATGAATTACCTCGTTTTAAAGTATTTGTTGAACTTGGTGTCACTGTATAATACAAGGAGAAAAAAGTTGCCCTAGTTGGGTTACTTGCCATTCTTCTTCTATACAAGGTCTCGCACCGTAGATTTGCGAACCGATGGCGTAGCATTTTGACTTTCACAAGTGCTTGGTAACAGCCTAAACTGAATAAAGCTGATTCTAATTGAGGGTGTCCGCTTAGAGAATAGCACCACAGGTCACCCGAACTGATGGCGTTTTTTGCACGTCCGCCCGTGGTTCCGTTTGTCTGTTGAATTGATAGTTTGCTAAACTCGAATCGAGTCGCACTTTTTGCGTGCACATCCAACGAATCGTGTCATTACCTCAGTATAATATTTGTGATACCTACGTAGGATGAGTTCCGGTTGGAACACTCGAAGCTTAATTTATGCAATATATTATTACTGAAGTCGCATGGTTTTTTGTTGTTATAAGTAGTTTTATTTACCTACATTGAAAAAAATCTTTACGTTTTCGTTGTAGTACGTCTATGTTGAACGAAAGCAAATATTTTTAAGTTTATCTCGAAATCTTTGTATTTTAAAAAGTTATAATTTCAGTAAATGTTATGGTTCAGAGTCTCCAATATGTATCCTCGTTTTTCCAAAATGAGAAACAAAATCATGAAATACTTATTCGTTTATCATACTTTCACATTTTAAGATTTTTTCTAGAAAACCACGAGGTCCAGGGGGCCATTCGCCTAACGGAAATGCTTTGGAAAACGCTAACGCTTACGATTTTATTTTGTTATTTCTAGCCGCCTGAGGTTTTCAAATGTCTCGCGCTCTTTTATTTTCTTTTGCATTGGTAATAACAATATTTAAAAAAATGAGAGTGAGGTATTTCAAAACCTTCGGCGGTCAGAAATAACAAAATAAAATCGAAAGCGTTAGCGTTTTCCAAAGCATTTCCGTTAGGCGAATGGCCCCCTGTTATCAGACAGAATATTTTCACATTTTATATTAAACGATTACGCAAAAATACCTACACAGATAAGTATTAGGGTAATTTTGTGGTCATTTAGTTAAAAATGCCACAACCCGTTGAAGAACGGCAGCACTCCTGATTTCTGCTCCAAAGGTCCTAGGTTCGAATCTCGGTATGAGCATTTATTTAACTGACGTGTTCAAGCTCTGTTTTATTTAAGGATTTCTTCTCAAATTTCTCGGGATAAAATTTATTTCCATTTCGGTTAAAATTAATGTAAGTATACTTAATGTAGGTATAATTACATTAATTTTAACCGAAATCTTCATGTAAAATTATAATATTACAAATAATAATTAAATTACTGATTTCATACTTGTCACCTCGTAGGTACGGAGAGAAGCAAAGGAAGGCGGATCCATCAAAAGAATTGACTGGCATTCAGTTACTCTCCGCCACCGCTTACCAGCTGAAGAAGCCCAACCAACAGCTACTGATTCCCATCACCCTTTGGATCGGCATGGAACAAGCTTTTATTGGGGCTGACTACACTCAGGTACACATATAATAGTTACTAATTTCTAGTTCTATTAAGAATTAGGTTCAAATTGCATTTTTTTTAAATGGAGCTTGTTACTAGTTATCAGAACCGTATACTAGTTAATTTACCTATAATTTAAAATTCCAACTATGACTTTAACATTTAAGTTTATAATTAATAGTAGAGTAATACATAATTAATGGGTATGGGTTAATTATTATGGAAATGAAAGTGGAATTTTAGAGTTATTACTTATTTATTTGTTTTGGTGTGGCCTTCTCTCGTTCTACAATGGTTTTTAAGTTATACTTATTAGAATAACAATCACTCACTCTTATCTAAACATCGATAAAATTTAATCTTTAAGCTGAAATTGGCGTATCATTATTTAGTCAACTGACTGTTAGCCTAACATAAATATGATAATTTTATGGAACACCGTTATACTTTAGATTTAATGTACAATAATAATTGTAAATGAACATCGTATAAGTTAAAAACCACATGTGATAACGTTCGCCTCAAACAAAAATATATATAAATGGGCATATACTTTAGTAAGTATACGTACGCGCAATCACTGACTACAGTGAACGATATTTTTAATATTGCGCGTCTTTAAGTTTCATGTATATTTACAATCGAACTAAAATCACTTGTATCAACAGACTTTCAATGAACTGTGTACATTATGTGTAATTACTAAAATTGTGGAATTATTATTTTATACTCTGCAGTTTAATAGCTATAGTTGAATGAAATAAGCAATTTAAAGAGAACTGCAGCCAAATTTCAATAATGTGTGGTAGTGTGTTTCTGCTTATGTAAAATTACTGATACTCGAAGAGCTAGAAATATTTTTTTGGAATTAAGTTATTAGCCATAGTATTACGCAAATCCTAGAAGTATCAATGTAGGAAGAGTCTTATTCAGACTGCCTCTGAAAAATCGGAGGTTCAGTGTATTACAAGGGTGGCAAATCAACGTAAATGTCTGGCCTGATATAGACGCTTGCGATACCAGATTTTTTTTAAATGAAATCCCTCATTTGTTGTTACCTCCCGATAGAGCACATTGAGTCATAATGTATTTTAAAAACACGACGAAGCGCTTCATGAAAACCTACGTAGTGCATCTGCCAGATGAAAAATGAAAATGAAAAAAACAGCTTCCAAATGGACCTATAACGATGCGTATAAAATATACATAGCGTGATAAAATGGCAGTTATGAACCCCATTTAGAAATCAGCTTTGCCAACCTCTCTCGAAATCCACCTTCTTCAGATTAGAGTTTCCCGGATGTAATAACTCACTCCAAACTTATAAATAACATATCGTGACAAGAGATGGAACTATCAAACCAATTTTGTTTCAAATCAATGTTGTAATATTCATAGTTGGTATTAAAATTTAGTTAAATTACTTCTTCTCACGATATATTTTGATTCTTAGACTATGAAGAATAAGTACTTATTTGTACCTCGTATTACATCCTGGGTATTATGTACAAGAGCATCACTGGGCGAATTAAAATCTTTGAATATAACGATTTTATTTAAAGGCAAAGCTTTTAAATGTTGTAATTGTTGTTTTTTCACCAACATTATACAAATAGTAAAATAATATATCATTACTAGCGGCCGCTCGCGAATTCGTACGCGTGGAGTTAGTTATTTAGCGTGATAACATGTAGCCTATATGTTGACCCGACTTCTTAATAACATTCGTGCCAAATTTTAAATAAATCCATGCAGTACTTTTTTAGTTTATCCCGGACATACAGACAAAAATTCTAATAACTATATTTTTAGCTTCGGTATCGATAATTATAGATCACACCCCAAGTATTCTTTTAAAAAAATATTCAATGTACAGTTTTGACTTTCCTATCATTTTATTATATGTTCATATATTCCTTACAGTTGAAATTAATGAAAATATATCTTAGTACTTGAAAAGCCTTTAAAGCCACTATCAAAAATTAGTAGTTCTAGCTTTAGTAGTTTTCTCACTGCATAGTTAAGTCATTCACATAAAAACGTGTCTTTTTAAAATTTTAGTAAGAAATATATATAATGAACAATATGGCATACTTTACTATCGCATGAAAATCAGAACGCCTAGACACGAAACAACGCGAAACCCTATATACATACAAACCACTCGACCTTATGCTACTATACCCTCATGTGGACCGCAATTTGTTTGTTCTTTCTAGGCGTACGTATCTTGCGCGCTCGGCATCCACTCCATTGGTTACGTGATGATATGCTTCGGTGTGGTGAACGCGATCTGTTCGCTGGTGTTCGGCTCGGCCATGAAGTACATCGGCAGGTTCCCGATCCTAGTGATGGGTGCAGCCCTGCATCTCGGCCTGATCGTGTGGCTTCTCATATGGATGCCGAACCCAAACTCGCCGTCAGTGTTCTTCGTCATATCGAGCCTTTGGGGCGTGGGAGACGCCGTGTGGCAGACGCAAGTCAACGGTAAGATCATTTTTTATATATACTTAATTACACATCAAGTGTTTAAGGATTAAGTACGCTGATTTGATTGAATCAATTGATTTCCCATAACTTACAGAAATCGCCATTAATCTAGTTGGTATAATGGTTAAAGTTCAATTTGAGGATTGTATTGTATTTTATGGGCAAAAAATCATTTGTTTTTGAACCACTAATAAGTGGCTTAAAATTATTTTACCAATAGAAAGCTACGTTAGTTCTGAGTGTCATATGTCATATAATTAAAACAAAAACTATACTTAGTCTACACCGAAGCGAAGCAAGGGTGGGCCACTAGTTAATAATAATATTTTGATTAAAAAATAAAAGGAAACATATCTGTGAGCTATGATGGGCATCCATATTCTGGAAGCGAGAGCCAACCGTAGAGTCTACAATTCTACATCTTTATGACACACAAGTGCTTGTTGATAATAGTTGAGTTTAAGAACCTTTCTCGAGCTAGTCTGCGCTTGACCCGAGGTCGAATACTAGCTTTCGATTTATCACTTGATGTAATAGTCGAAACTTCACCGATTCTAAATTTGTTACTGCCAGTGTATTCGTAGTGCTCCGTAATTACTTTAGACAACAAAGTTTGTTTTGACTATAGACTTATATGTTTCGCCAGTTCTTTTCAGAAAGGTCGCAATTTTGGAACTGGCGGTAGTTAGGGCCAAATAAATAAACTAAATACTATATATATATATATAAAGTACTTTATTATTTAATTAGCTAATAAATTCATACAAAGCCAATAAAGTTTTATAAATCTTCCAATGAAGGATCCGAACGCTCAATAAATGTCTTTTGAAGGTAGCTAAACAAAGAAAATAAAATCACTCCCTTTTCACTTACGACCTACTATATGTGTCCAAATATAACAACGTAACAAAGAAAAAAATCCTTAAAGTAATTAAACACCTACTTGCCTAGTAGGCATGAAGATCAATGTTTCCATTTGAATATTGCTACAATAAAAAATAATTGTTACCAGACAAATTTGAACTGATAATCTAGTTTATTGTTTAGTCCTTTTGCAATATATAACTACCACCTACAGATAGCAGTGAGCGCCTAAGAAATTTCATTTTTTGGTAGAGAAACGTTTCCGCGGCATATTTGAAAAAGAAATGTTATTTTCGTTTTTTTACTGATATACGCAATAGACTTACAAATATCCACTTTCTATGGATACACTATAAGTACCTACACTAATAAATAACGTATGAACGATTTCAAAAACTTGTCCAATTCCTATTCTTACTGTTAATGTTACTTAAGAAACGGAAAAATTCAATAAAAGTTTTAGTCACTGTGATGATAACATATTATGCTATAATTATTATTATTTTATGTGCGTATCTAGCGGTAATATCTCTAATCGATATCGAAACAATGTACCGAGCAAGCTTTATAGAGAGCGAATGATTTCAACATTAAAGATTTCTAAATTTTTTTTATGTACTTACCTATCTGTTATTGTTTACTAGTGACCCGTCCGTCCCCGTGCGGGTGCAATAAACAAATAAGAAATTAAGAAGTGATGACATTTGGGCGAATCATTTTTAATATGAGGCCATGAGAACCATAGTGGCCTAACTCATTTATAACCATAGTGGCCCATCTTACTTAGGCCGGTATGGCACCTAAAATTTAGATCACAAACTAAAAATTGTAACAGTAATTATGCTGCTATCTAGTGAATATTCGTTGTATCACTTTTAGACCACAATGGTTCTATCAAAATGATCAATTGGAACTGGAAAAAATCATAAACTCAATATTGTAAAAAATGAGTTAGGCTACTATGGTTCTCATGGTCTCATATATAGATAGAAGATAAATTAACACGTAGTAAGATATAGATATTTGTAACTAATATAATAATCTGTGCAAATGGGCATTGCCGTAAGATTGCCTTATTTTCAATTAAATTATGTGGGCGTTTAAATATTTTTTTAACAAAAACTCCCCAAAGAGGATCTGCCTCATTCTACCTATAAAGCGTCCGCTTGAAAAGCTTTTTTTTAAACATCATTCCAAACGAATCTAGTGACAATCCAATTTGCTTTGAAATCACATTGTGAGCGACATATTATAGCGTGACAAATCTGCAATTCCTGTCTACAGTAGACAGGAATTGCAAATTAGTAACACTGTAATTGCCATCGAAAGGTTATCAGTACCTACTTGTAAACTTATAAGTTGGTACTTATACCTTTACACCCAAACATATAGGTAAGATGTTAACTCAACCATTTGCTTTAAGAAAAAAGAGTTTATCGTGGTTTCTAGTTAGTTGGCTGTTTTGCGGAATGTGTACCCAACTAATAACATATTTAGGGTTCCCTGTACAATCAACACCAACTACAATAGTAGTTAACACTGAAAATTGAGTACAAAAATTGCAAAATTTCGGGTTCGGCTCTCGACGATTTCCTCCTCGAAACTTAGATTTATGTAAAAGAATTTTTACCCATAGAATAATAAGTAGTTGTACTATGCCTTTTTGTTTTGTTTTTTCTTTTTGTAAATGCTTATTAAATCCACACTAGGCGTCTAAGTGGTGATAAAAGAATATTTATTTCTGGCATTTTTGAGTTCTTCTAGTTTCTCTGAAACACAAGTTATAGAAAAAAAATCGGCCAAGTGTGTGTGTTTGCGACGCGCAGTGTAGGGTTCTGTAGTTCCACGTCGTCACCACAATATATTTTGGAAAGAGAACTGATACGGAACCCTCCGTATGCGAGTCAGACTCGTACTCAGCTGTTTTTTATGTATGCATTTGAAATGAAGATGTTCATTAATTATGAAATTGTAAAAGACGATTATGCAAAAGTAATGCATCCAGTACGTTCTTAAGGTTGGGTGCACAATCTATTAAGTTTATCGCATCGAATCATGGCTTGCTTGCTTGGGCTTGCTGCATCTTGCCGGCTCGCGTGCGCTCGTCTAGACACGTTTTTATATCAGTTATTAACAATCATTGACAGCTCCGCGTCATTAGTTCTGCTGGCAGCCATTCACGAGAAGGTAAATTTAGCAGTTCCTCAAATAAAATTTCTGTGATAGGTGTACTTAATTCATTTTTATAGATAGCCAGCGGCGGAGCGTGGGTGTCGGCCGATCGGGACGAAGGATATTTTTACCGCCCTCTTTTTTAAATGGTTAAAATATTTTTATTATTTATTGTAAAATTTTGCCGCCCCTAAGAAGTGCCGCGCGAGGCGGACCGCCGCTGCCGCCCCCACTACGCTACGCCACTGTAGATAGCGCTACAACACTTTTTTTTTTGCTACATTTCAAAGTTTTGATCAACGTAACGACCTTAAGAGAATTTTGTAACAACTCATTCAGACGAATCGAAAATTTGAAATACCAGTAATACACATACAATAGGAAAGTAGGTGTTATCATATTTTATTAAATATATACTTACAGATTTTCTAGTTTCTCTAATAGTAGTTTTGTACCTTATAGTTTGACAAATCGAGTCCGAGTTAATTTTATCAATCCCTCGTTTGAAAATGCCCAGCCTGACCCAATCCTCTACCCCAAACAGCCCTGGAACTTTACTCATCGACAGAAACATTTTATTAAGTAAGGTTACTGTCCCAGATGGGCTCTCCGATTCTAGCGGAGCCCTACCTCTCTTCACTTTACTTGGCAGCATTTTAAATTTAAATGTGTATTTCCATAGTTTAGCATTGCAGACTTCTAAATTTAAATATCTATTTCCAGGACTATATGGCGTGCTGTTCAGGCGTAACAAGGAGGCGGCCTTCTCGAACTACAGACTGTGGGAGAGTGCTGGGTTCGTGGTTGCGTACGCGTACTCCACGCATCTGTGCGCGCGCATGAAGCTTTACGTCATGATGGTGGTCCTTCTTATTGGAGTGGTCGGATACATCATTGTGGAAATCCTGCATAAGAGAAAGGTAAGTCACTATTGGCTTTACTATAAAAAAGTAAGATACTGTTTGAAACCGTGATTAGATAAATTTTGTATGACACTTATTCTTAAACTGGTGTTGAACGCATGGCTAAGTTAGCTGTGATACAAGGGATTATTTTCTATAGTTGACCGTGATTAGACAAATTTTGTATGACACTTATTCTCAAACTGGTGTTGAACGCATGGCTAAGTTAGTTGTGCTACAAAGGATTGTTTTCTATTGTTGGTTGGTTATTATTATTTTAATGTTCTCGACATTAATAAAAATGATTTATCTTATTTAACATATAACAAAAGTGACATTGCAGCTCTGGCTGGTACAAATGGAAAGCAAAAATGATTGAAGTGATTCAACTTTCGTATGCATCATCACAAAGTATAAATGTAGGTACAGCGGGTGTGATTTATGGCGTTAATTTTCAAAGCACGTTCCTTATTCTTTTTAAAATTTCTAAGGGTAGTAAAATGGCCTTGAAGACATAAATTTTCTTCGAGCATCTAGAAATAGCCATGCCAGGTAGAAGGAATCTTTGAAGAGATTTGGTTAGTTTTCGACATTTTCCAGTCAGTTCAGGTTCAGGGGAGCTATGTTTCAAGCAAATGAACTTATTCGACGTAAGGTTCGTAGTTTCACTCGAAGAGATTTACATATTTATTAGTTTCAAAAACTGCACTAAACACAGTCTTCTTACTTATCTAGTAACATTCAAGTAATGTCAAGTAATGTTTGCTAAGAACATCCTTTATGATCAAAAATAAAGAACGCTTTGTGACTCATTGTTTCAAACAGACCGTTGTCACTAAGCAAATAATAATACATTTGCAGACGTAATATATATTTACATACTCATTTTCATTGACAATTTTCACCGTGCCTTCTGTTTCTAGGAATAACACATTGTGTTTTCCCTCAGTGCTACAGAGCTAATATCACAAAAAAGGTTTTTTTTTTTCAATAAAATAATCATCAACAGTCGTTTTGTAAATTTGTGTTTCCCCAATCCTACTCCATCATTTAAAATTTTACAATTTAGTACTTTACTTGGTGTCCAGTTCGTAGGTATAGAAGTTCAAATACAAACCCAATTATCAGGTTCGGGTATCTATGATGGTCTTTCTCTATGGTGTCTCACTGTTCATCAAACTTTTTAACCCGTTTTTGAGTGTTGAGCGTAACACTTGCAAAATTCACATCACAAATCTAGTTTTTGTCTTTCGGTCAGAAATAACTTGGCTACAAACTCATCATTTGGTATGCCTGTCAGATTTATTCAATTCCCTAAAGAACATGATGAGGATATACAGCTGTTGAATGTCATGATCATCATAATCAGCTTATTAATGTCCTCATCACAGGGGTACATGCCTTCCATATGGATAGAACAGGGAGATTGGGCCGTGACCTACCACACGGGCCCAGTGCAGATTAATGGATGATAACGTGCCTTCCGAAGCACAGAGGTGATAAGTTTTTGGTCATCCATCCAATGACCGACCATTGCGTATGTTGCTTCACTATCACTATAACAGGTTAATGCGCTAACCACCTGGGTCATCGTGCTCTTCAAAATCCTCTGTTCAATGTACAAATAGCAAATATGAATAGCCAAGTAAAGTGTTACCCTAATAGATACGCCATTAAGTTAGTCAGCATTAACCCCTCGACAACTAAATACATTTTCTGATATGAGCGTTTGTCGACAGGCTCGTCGTCTTAAAGCCATCGCGGAGGATCCTGCCATCGCAGCCGAAGCCGCCAAGCAGCCCCCTGAAGAGGATGACGAGAAAGATGAGATCGATGACGAAATCGTTATCACCCATCTGTGAACATTTAACGATTGAACCATCACGTTGCCACCCGCTCTCATTTTGTGCGTTTTGGGCAAGTGTTCACCTGTCGTAGAATAGTTTTTCATTGCACATGAAATATACAGCTACTGATTGATGAAGTTTTGTTTTCAAATCATAAAAAATAACGATTAATGGAAATGTAATTGTTGTATGCGTTACTTATATCTAGATTATATGTATACATGGATTGATTGCAATTAATTTGTATTGATGAATTACATATGTATGCCGAATTAAACAAAGAGATATAATATTACTTATACAAAAAGTAATGTGTCGTAAAATTGTTAAAGTTGCGCCTGTTTGATAGTACTACAATGCAACTTTCATTGCCAGGTGTAATCAAAGATATTGGAGAAATAATAACTCATTGCAATAAAAAAAATGTGTCAAAACATGCTTTTCTATTTAGAAAATGGCTGAAAGATAGACATGATTAAAAATAAATACTCTCGCTTTTTAAACGAGCGTTAACAAGAAGAAAATGAGGTATAATTCTATATAAATATTTTATATATTTCTTTCGTACAAAGAATAACATGTTTTTGTGTTGTCTGTTTTTAAAAAATCTTCTTGTACTTTTATTATTATAGTATATTTATATCAATAATTTTAAGTAAATCAGCTTATAACTAGTAGTAGCAATACTATCCAATATCGTAGTATTAGTAGTAACTTTTTGTTAAATTCTTCGAAATCGTTTAAGCTTTCCTGTAACATAAGTTTCGCTTGTGCCTTTTAAATCGCAATGCCGAGGGCTCATTTCTTTTGGTTACACTCGTTTAAAGCAATGAACTAATAATTGCATATTCATTAATTTTTATTTTCAATAAGATGAAAACTAAATATCCTTTGCTCTTGAGAAACTATTGTAAGGCATGTGTGACATTTTATATTTTAATGATATTGACAGTATTGAATGATAAATATAATTCGATTCTGTTCACTGATGGTATCGGTGCTCGTCCAACTTTGTTGCGCGTGTACTGAACAATTTGTCATAGCAGGTACATTCATATTCATTTGAAAGAGGTACAAATAAAAACAACTGGGGGAATTGTTTCCGTGAATTGTTAAAAATGAATTAAGAATTTTTTTGTGAACTGTGTTAGTTAATTATAGTAAATTTGACAGAAATTTGATGAATACAAGTACAAAACTATTATTATCTTTGGCTACCTACCGAAATATAGTGACGTCGTAAAAAAGATACTTGACGTCCACGGGCCTGTTACATTACTTGAAAAGAAACTAATTGATAGAATAACTGTCATTATATGTCTCCATTCAGATTCATGTTCATTTATGAGTAGGAGTAGGTATTTAGCTTTGTTTACCTGACAGATAAGGAATCGCATAAGTGCCCGCAAACCTTGCTCAATAATGAGTACAAGATATTTTAAATCAGTCTTCTAACAAAAGACAACAATGAACTGATTAATCAAGAACATTTGAACAATCAAGTGATGTAACAAGCTCTTAAATTTTAAATTAGGTAATAAAATAATATTCTTGGCCATAATTATTATCTAAGTAAGTCCATAAATTAAACACTTTTAATGAAGATTTCAAATTACAATAAAATCATGTGATCATAGAATCTCATTACATACAAAACACTATATACTTAACTGGTTTCTTGCCCGCAAAATATTTTTCATTATCACACGTGACGGGACGTAGAAACTGTTAAGTAAAGAAACAAAACAAGTACTTATTCATTTATATCGCGTTAGTAACACGATTCCAAATTTAATATCTCAGAAAGAAAGACTTCTTACCATTCGTTTCCACCAATAAGCATGTCCTAAACTAGTTTTAAACAAAACTTGTACAATACTTGTTATGGCTGTCAAAACTTTCTTTCGTTTCCACTGCATAGACAACTAGTATCGGACAAGTATAAATCACTTATTTACTTAACATTTTTGTAATTCCAACAAGTTTGATACAAGTATTGTTTACTACATGTTTCATAAGTGTGAACAAAAAGAAATGGTAAATACATGTATTATACTTGGTGTAAATGCGGGGATATAGGGTTGAACATTTCAATCCTTTTTCAAGATTAGATAGTAATTATTGACAATAAACAACTGACGTAGAAGAGCATAAAAATTCGGTGATATAAACTTAATATCTTTGTTTATGGTTTTATTAATGATATTCATTATGGTAGCTTTATTAACTTACATTCACTTAAAAATCGGTGACATATTTGACTATCTCTAAAATGAATGGATAAAATGAACCAATAACAGGAAGCGATATTCTTTGCCATCTTACATTTAAAAGCCCTACCCAGGTATACTGTGCCTATGCATAAGCGAGTAGAATTAGTTGTAAGGTTTTATAAATATCGATAATTGTCATCCTATTTCTGTTCCAATCGGTTTACGTAACTATTTATTTTATTTATAATACAAATTTTATTATGTCTATAATATTTATAAAAAAATGTTAGTATAGCAGACGTATTTATACTGCTGTTGTTTCTATAATTTTAATAAATTGTGACAATGAAAACCCGTGTTGAATTTTAATATAGGAACATGAAAAAGGCTGATGAATTATTATTGGAAAGTTGTACTATGTAGACGTGCCCTTGTGTCGTGCGAATAGCAACCTTTGTTGAATAGTTGATTATATTATTATGTTTATAATATTATTGTGAGAATCAGAATCTATTGAATTAAATAATTTTAAAAATCGACTCTAAAGTAAGAGACAGATGAAATGGTATAAAATGCCGTAATATTTCCGTTGTTTTTATACCTACAGATTTTAATGGCTTTTACAAAATTTGAAAACAACATAAACTAGAAAAAAAATCAGGTACAGCAATTTGAGTGGTGATGATCTAATGTACTCGACAGTTATTTTCGGAACGAGCAGTCGTTTCACGAATTTAATGTTTCGAGGTATCTTTTGCGAAGCCCTATCAGCGTAGTTCGACAAATTGCTGCTACGAGGATGTTAGATTCAGTTACAATCTCAAACATGTGCTATGGTTAAATGCCGTGGTCAATATTTTCAAATAATACATATTGCGTTGATAATATAATATTATTTTGTTTTATATAATGACATGTTCGATTGACTTTATGCCAATGCGGTAGGTCTCGTGTAATCTTCGTAGTGAAATCTTTCGTTTAAGATTCTTAGATCAAATACAATTATTTTAGATGTAATAACGTTACTTTAAATAATACGTAGGTACTTAAGATTGTGTATATTCTACTTTGATAATTTGTTTGTAATATCGTTGAGACAAGTGTGTCGTTATTTACTGAACACGATATATATTCTAAGGAGCCACGGCTGCCAATGGAGTGTGTCACAGTTATTGTTTATGTTTCCCATATTTGTTTAATAACAAACTGAATGCGTTTTTAATACTATTTTTTTATACCTATGGTTCTAGTTCATAACGTTTCCTCTCTATTGAAAGACAATTAACGTCGGTTTGCACACACACTCTTTTTTTTCACAAACAAGAATTGCCGAACATAATTTGTCTATTATTTATGCTGAATCCTAATGTAATCCTTTGATGAGTGGCGTGCTCCTCACCATCAAGAGATGTTAAATATATCAATGAACAGGGTATTAACAGTTGTGAAACGGTAAAAATAACTTGGATTCCGGAAAATTTAAAATCGAGAAACCTCCTTTGTTATGTACTTACTTAACAAAAAGAAGTACTTATGCATTTTAACACAAAATTATCTTGATCGAATTTATGTCGTTTAGTGTGTTTTCAATGACCTTCTTTACATAGATAGAAGGTCATTGTGTGTTATATATTTAATATTGCTTAGTAGTTTGGTAATGCAGAATCTTCCATAAAGGACTTTCTAGAATCGACTAACTGGATTAGGATTTAATCTTTCAATTTCCGCATATTTATATGTTATGTCCGATGCATGTTACATAAAGAAATTTTAATAAAAGACAAAATAATTTTAAGACATCTGGGTGAAATGGAGTTATTAATTATTTGATAAGTGATTTGTCGTTGTGCAAGGCACAAATTTTATAAACGAGCAGGTTAGGTACCATTCGGTAGAATTACAAACCACGTGATAATTAACAATAAACATTATAATTCTAAGAATATTATATAAATGTAAATTAATAATATTTTAGTTGTAATAGAAAGGCTATTATATAAATAAAACGCTATATTATGATGAGATAACGCATATTTTTGTTAGATCGTAGCGAGTAATTATATTATTACGTATTTTATTAATTTGAATAAAGATGTCATATGAGTTTGTGATGAAAATAAACATAGATCTTGATTGATATTTTTGTTGTATTATTGTAGAATCCTATGTTACGCTGGAAGTGGAGAATGAAACAAGACAAAAAGGTTAAATATAAAAAATAAAAAACCCGACTGGTAAAATGTTAACTTCAAATAAAAAGTGAAAAGAGAAAACAAGTCCAGTAGTCTATTATTCTGTTAATAATAATAATAATAATAATTTTTAATTCATGCCAAAAAAACATATGAGGTACAAAAGTTTTACAGCTGTTAAATTTACTAGACAGAGTACTGGAATTTATTTTTAGTATATTTTCTTTTTTACATAAGGCAGTAGTCATAAAATGAAAACGTACAACTGACCCTAGATAGACTATAAATATAGCCTGTGTTTAGGGATTCAGACCCTTCCAATAGGTTCCTTAAGATGACACAGTAATAAATTGTTACAGGATAGCGAAGCAGATCAGATAACAGCATTTGTTCATGACAAAGATATTAATAAAAATTACTGACTACATAAAATGGATAGAATACGCGTATGTGTTGTGTGTGTGTGAGTGTGTGTATGTGTGTCTGTGTGTGTGTCTGTGTGTGTGTGTGTGTATGTGTGTGTGTGAGTGGGTATGTGTGTGCGTCTGTATGTGCGTATGTATGGTGCAAGTATGAGTAGATGCAAGTGATGTTATTTAGGATACAACAGCGAGCAATTTTTCGGTTTCCTCATATGATTTTCCACAAAGCCAGTCAGATAAAACTTTTTTGCATTTGGAGTGGGGTAGATGGTGATACAGGAGAAGGCTATTTATTTTATTGTATAAGTAAGGGCCAAGAAAGACAAAGAATCTTTTAGTAAACGCATAATTAATCCTAGGTGTAGGGCAGACATTTCTGTTGTTTCTTTTGACGTTGCAAGTAAGTGGTGTTTTAGCATGTACATGTAGAAGTGTATTCATTATAAAAAGTTGCCGTACAGTCATAACTTTACAGCTTAGGTAAAGCTCATTTGTAGGAAACATAATGGGTCTGAAAGTGCTCACCTTCAAGATCGCACGTTGAGCCCTTTCCAGCGGTAAAAGATCTGTTTTGAAGGTTCCTCCCCATGCGGTTATGCAATAAGTAATAATGCTCTGGCATAGGGCAAAGTAAGTGGATCTGATAATTGAAGGCGGGGCAACATAACGAAGTTTTCTAAAAATGTAAATTAATTTTCTAATCCTGGAAGTAAGTGTGTCTATATACTGTTTAAAATTTAGATTTTGATCAATGATAATTCCAAGATATTTAGTGGATATGGTTGAATTTATACATGGACAAGAGCAGCTATTGATTTCTGGAAAAGAGCACATATGAGCTATTAGAGATGGTGGAGGCTTCGGTTGAGTGTCGTTGCGAATGGAGAAGGTGATGAAGTTGGATTTAGAGGCATTTAAAGTAAGTGTGTTAGCAACCAACCATGCAGTAACGGCATTTAACCCCTTCTGAGCGGTAGACAAGGCGTCTGTCCAAGTTTTCCCAGTGAATGAAAGTACAGTATCATCCGCAAAAGACGTAATTTTACCGTTGAGAAGTTTTAGGTTACAAAGGTCGTTGATAAATACTAGAAACAGCGTAGGTCCTAGGATACTTCCCTGTGGAATACCATATGTTATAGGGGTATAGTCACTATATACATCATTTATTTTTACCCTTTGCGATCTTTCCAGCAAGTAGTAAGGAAAATAGATACTACTTTATTTTTACTATTTATATTATTGGCAACATAATTCAGAAGTTCAAGAACAGCATCAGATGTGGACATCCCACGCCTAAAACCAAATTGATTTGGTGAAATTAGTTTACAACTTTCGAGGTACTTAGTTAGTCTTTGGTTGATGATACGTTCAAGAACTTTAGAAAGAGATGTAAGAAGTGCAATCGGCCGATAGTTCCCGGGAGATTTTCTATCACCACTTTTATATATGGGATGAATTGTAGCCCTTTTAAATGCATTAGGAAAAATCCCTAGGTGGAAACATTTATTAAAAATATAGGTCAAAGGTTTTGTAAGTACCGTAACGTAGCGCTTAAGAAACTCAGGCGATATGTTATCCCAACCTAGTGCCGTATTCGATTTTAGAGCAAGGATAGCATCACGAACCTCGTTTTGATCTGTGTCTAAAAGGACAAAAGATTGGGAGGAAAACGCAATCTTAGGTGGTTTATATTGTGTAGCTACGTTTTTGCTGTTAGTGATTTTATTTGCTAGGTCTTCGCCGACCGTAGCAAAAAAAGAGTTAATATTATTTACTGACTCAATTGGCGTTGCACCAGATTGTAGAAGGTCAGTTGAAGGGTGTTTTAAAGGAGTTGTGTGAGTTATCCGTTTGATAGTATCCCAAATCCTTTTGGTGTTAGTGCCCGCCATACGAAGTTCGTCCGCATCGTATTGCCTCTTAAGTTTCTTAAGCAACTTTGTACAATAACTACGATATCTAGTGTACGTTATTTTTAATGTGAGATTGTCAGGATTATTTTTCACTTTACGATGCATAGCGTCCCTGTTCCGAATACAGCGCAAAACTCCTGGTGTGATCCACGGCTTAATAATTTGTTTTCGTCGAAACGTGCGAACTAGTATCGTATGTTCTGTTATGAATGAGGTCAACATGCGGATCAGTATGTCTGTAGCACAATTAGGATCTTCAACATTATATAAAGACCTGAAATCCAGGTTGTTGATTGCCTGGTCCATACCACAATAGTTAGTTTTGCGAATGGTGTATTTATTTAAGTTACGTGGTTGGCAGTTTTGCAAACATTGTATTACAGGAAAATGGTCTGTTACTGTAGAGTCTAATACAAGTGTGGTTGAGAGAAAATTAGTTTTTAGGAATACGTGATCTAGGCAGTTAGGTCCACGGGTTGGCAGTGTATGACCAGGTAGATAACCATGGAATGCTAAAATGTCAAGATATTCAGCGGCTTTTGAGTCAGTTGATTGGGGAATGATGTTGATGTTTAAGTCACCTGTAATTATAACACTTTTAAAAGAGTTTAACGTTTGTAAGATGCTACACAAAGAGGTCATAAAAGTGTCAATCGATTCATTCGAAGGCGACCGATAAATGCAGAGTATGGCAGTATCGGTTTTCAACTTAATCAATAGACAAGAAGCATTTGTCAAATTTAGTTCGTCGACATCACAGCTTAAATCAGATTATGTTAAGTAAGGAACAAAGCTACTTTACCAGTCGGGACCCATTAGATAATCAAGATTGGATATTATTTTTTTTCAAAAATGTGTCCCGACTGTCTATATGTTATTATTATGTATGAGCTATAGTATTGTTAAGTTTCATTAAAATCCATTCAGTATTTTTTGGGTGTAAAAGTAACAAAGTTCCATACAAACGTTAGATTAAAATTGAAAGTGCAACTGGTTATTATTCAACTTTGAATCGTTGTAGGTCCTAAACAGTCACATATAATGAAAAATGGTGTAAGAAAGCTCGACATAATATTACTTATTTTTTATTCTCACATTATGTATCCTAATTGACCCAGTATTGAATTTCAATTAATATCATGTCTTAGTAACACTCACATGATAAGACGAATCGATTGACGTATGAATCATCAAAATCGGTACAGGCGTTTGGTCTCTAGTGTGCTACAAAGGAACATACATACATATATAGACTGTTAAACACTATACCCTGTCCTGGATATCCTTAGATTATGAATTCTTTCCGAGATGGATGTTCGACTAGTACTTATGTTGTTTTGTGCTAATTTTAAATAAAAATAAGTCGATTTCCAAATTAGTGTCTGCTTATTTATTAATTACTATCACCATTGAAGAGTATGAAATAATTTGTTCAACCTTGTAGATGAGAAAAGAGGAGAACATGAGAACTCTTCATCTATTCAGCGTATATTATCTCATTAGGGATATGTCCATTAGCGATCTACTCCTTATTATTTTTTATTATTGAAGTGAATCTCTTTTTAGGCACGCTTGACTTGGGGGGTAAACTGGTGAATGTATTCCGATTTTTGCGTTTTGGTTACGATTAGTTTCATCGGTAACTCATCGGTAAACAATGAACAATACCCAGTGCGGATTAGTGGATGATAACGGGGACCCAGCGCGTATTGGAGCTAAAGAAATTTCACTTCAGTCGTGTGGTCATAAGCACAATCGCTTTTTTTTTAATTGACTTTTTCTTTTTTGCTTACATTATTCAGTCGCGGTTTTTGAATTGCCGATTTTGTTTTAATATTAATTACTTATCTAAACTAAAATAGTCGACAATTCAAAAGCCGCGGTAAAACATTCAAAACAGTGTATGCAGTTCTAAAATAAGTTTGTTTCCCTCTAACAATCGGAACTGACTTGCGTTAATGGTAATAATATTAACATATAAACACTTTCAATTAATTAATTAAATTTCGATTTAATTGTCTTTCACTAATAGTCGATAAGTAGATTACCTATAGCGATAAGAATATGCTAATGATGAATGAAGTAGATAAGTTATACATTTTTTTAATTTAATTTGAGTTCTCACACAGAATACGTAATAGGTTCTACGTAGTTATAATCTTCATCACCCTAATCGAGCACACACAAACCATTTAGGGGAAAGGAAGTCAATACGTGTAAACTAGCTAGTATAAAAGATAGACACTGTTCTTTATTACTCAATTGGTATTCATCATCAAACTACGTATTATAGTTTTTATATCTGAGGCTCTTACTTTTTACACAGAACAGAACACGCAGGTTTGGGGCGAATTGGTGTACGACAGGCCAGGGATGGACTTTTTCCTTATTGTGCCAAAATTTACTATCAGAATCTATAGCAGGTCTAGTTTTTGCTAGGCCCCTGACGATGTGCATCCCCAATTTGTAAAAGAATCAACCTAATTTTGGTTATAGCTCGGTCACGAATGTCTCCCATGCATCATCATCATCATCTCATTTTCAGCCTGGTTTCGCAGCGGGGAATTCATTTTCGGAAAATGTGAAAAAATACACACACATTTTGGTTTAT